CCTCTCGCCTCCCACTCTCCCATCACTCTGCCCCCCCTTCCCCTTCCCCTTCCCCTGCTGCCCTCCATCTACCGCGCCAGCAACACCATGGTCGATTACAGCAAGTGGAACACCATCGAGCTGAGCGATGACGACTCCGACTGCCACCCCAACATCGAGCGCGGCACCTGGCTCCGGCTGAAGAAGGCCTCGAAGGAGCGCAAGGAGGCCGAGGAGGCCGCTCGGCGCGCGGCCGAGGACGCCCAGGAGGCCGAGCGTGTCGAGCAAATTGCCAAGCTCGAGGCCGAGGCCGCGGCCGGTGATCTGTCTGCCGAGCAGCAGGCCACCCTGGACCGGCTGCGCGCCGAAAGCGACAAGCACCAGGCCCAGCGCCGGGAAGAGGAGGCCAAGAACAAGCAGTACCCCAAGTGGTCGGACGCCAACATCTGCACGGAGAAGTTCAGCAAGACCATCCTCAACACCGGGTCCAGTGCGGCCGCCACCACCGCGGCTGCCACCACCGCCAGCACCGCCGCCTCCGGCCCTCCGGCCGCCAAGAAGGCCACCGTCACCAAGACCGAGCTCATTCACGACCCCTCGCCGAAGGCGGCCACCGCGCCGGTGGCCACCCCGGCCGAGCCCCTCTCGCGCATGGCCACCATCTCCTTCGAGGGCATGGACCGCGAGGAGGCCCAGCGTCTGGAGCACTTCTACCTGCACACGGCCATGGCCCTGCCCTCGGCCGATCGGTCGGCCTCCGCGGCGCAGAAGCACCACGACCTGTTTGCCGAAAACCTGGCCCTCCTCCGGACGCCGGGCATGCATACGTACTCGCTGCTGGTGGCGTCGGATGCGCTGAAGCGCGCGGCCGCCCTGCGCGAGGACACCGTCGACCCGGAGGCCAGCGTCAAGGCCGCCAAGTCCCTGGAGACTCGCGCTCGCCGCTCCCTCTCCTTCGCCAACATGCTGCAGACTCTCAACGAGCTGAATGTCAATGTGGCCTTCCAGCACCTTCAGAAGATGATCAAGGACCAGTCCGTCCGCCGGGAAACCGCGCGCCATGTCGATGACTACTACCTGCGCGTGCTGGAGCGCGTCCCCGAGCTCCGGGCCCTCGAGCAGAAGGAGGCCGAGGAGGCCGCCGCCAACAGCGGCGCCATCCAGGACGACGAGGACGTCGAGATCATCCCCATTGAGGAGCTCGATGAGGAGACCCGGAAACTCCTGCTCGAGGACCAGGAGGTCGATGCTCGGGAGAACTGAGAAAGGATGCCGCTCCTCCCGCTGTGTTCCTCTTTCTCCTCCCCATGTGCGCATGTGTGGCACCCTCCCGCGCCATCCTTGGCATCCCATGTCCAGTCCACGGAAACACGCCGGCCTTCGTGCGCAAGCGTCGGCCAGGGGCGAGGACGAGAGGAAGGGGCAGCGGGGGGGGGGTGCAAGGGCAGGAGAGGGGCGATGCCAAGCCACACCGCGCCTCCTCCCTTGGATCGACATGCCCAAGGCCTCTCCCCTCCCCCGTGTATCTGCGTGTGTGTGTGTGTGTGTGTGTATGTGGATGCCGCCTCACAGTTGAGAGCGCACTCACATGGAGATGTCAAAGATTGTGGATGCCAAGCGCACGCTCCCGGGGCTTGCCCCAAGAATACACACATGCACGCGGAGTATGATCCTGCTGCTACACACATGGCTGCCTGGGCGCCAGAGGGGAGGTAGCAATGCCACAGGCGCATCCAATCGTACAGCTGCACTGGGTCCGGTCCTCGGGGTGTGCCCGGGGGGAGGGGGGGGGCCCCTTCTGGCTCTTTTTTCCCCTGCACAACAAACGGAACCTCCCCTTTGTCCTGGGAAAGGCAGCGCTGTGGCGGTGTTCCCGACGGGAACGAAAGATGTGTCTGATCTCTTGTTGGCAAAACAAACAAACAAAAACAAACGAGCCCCATGCAAGTCGCCGAAAGGGCAGAGCGCGAGGCACGCGCGTGTGGGAGGGAAAGCCATGGACCATTGCGTGTTTGCTTGGTTGTTGTGTATAGGAGAGAAGGGCGGGGACATGGGAACGCGTGTGTGTGCGCGCGCACGCGCGCGCAACCACGCACGGGCAAGGGAGGGGGGGGGGGGACGCCGCGAGAACATAGCGCCAGCCAGCAAGGCATGGCCGGATGCGAGGGCCCGCGTACACGTGTGCGTGTGTGTGTGTATGAATGTGCATATATATATTTTATATATGTATGTATGTGTGTGTGAGAATGTGGAAGCCTGCCCAACTGTCAACGGAGACAAGTTCCAGTGCCGCAGAAGAGGGGAAAGCACGGGCCGGTGTATCGGAGAGGGAGGCAGCAGGGGGAGATGTGCGTGTGTGTGTGTCCAAGTTGGGCACAGCGGTGTGAGCCATTGAAAAGGGAACCGCAAAAATGGGGGACGGAGCAGAAAAGAGGGCCACGTCTCCTTGTCCCTGTGTATGGGGGGGGGGAGGCGGGCGGGCGGGCGGGCGGGCGGGCGGGGGAGACAGCATGACAGTGTGGCGCACCCTTAGTTCTGGTTCGGGGTCTTGCGGCTGCCCTGGAGGGCCTCCCACGGGGAGTGGAAGTCGAACTTGCGGTACTCCTGGGTCAGCTCAACCGGCTCCTGGACGATGCACTTCTGCTCGTCGTCGTAGCGGATCTCATAGTAACCGGACAGGGGGAAGTCCTTGCGCAGGGGGTGGCCCTCGAAACCGTAGTCGGTCATGATGCGGCGCAGGTCGGGGTGGTCGGTGAAGTAGACACCGAACAGGTCCCAAACCTCGCGCTCCTGCCAGTTGGCGCCGAAGAAGAGCGGCGTCACGGAGGGAACGGTGCTGGTCTCGCTGGCGTAGGTCTTGACGCGGATGCGAGAGTTGAAGCTGGTGGGGGAGAGGGGGGGAGGGGGGAGGGGCAAGGAGAGGGCACACGTCGACGTATGAGTATCTCATGCGGCCCTGTGGAATAAAGGGAGGGAGGGAGAGAGAGAGAGGGAGAGAGGGAGAGAGAGGGAAGACGCACCGGTGGGAGAGGAAGTTGTAGACGATCTCGAAGCGGTTGGAGCGCATCGGGAAATCGACGGCGGTCACATCAGCCAGCTGCTTGTACTGGGCAGGAGTATGATCGCGGAGGAACCTGCGCAAGACAAGGGGCCACGGAGAAGAGGGAGACAAGGAAGACGGTCAGAGAAGGGGCGGGGGAGCGTGGAGGCGGGGCGACAAGTTGCCAACCAGGGCCGACAACATCAGCAGAAGAGCCCGGGCAAGGGGGAGGGAGGAGGGGAAAGAGAGGGGCTGGCACGCACTCGGAGACCTTGGTGATGTTCTCGGGGGCGGTCAGGATGGTGAGCTGGCCGTTGTGCATGTAGGTGCCCTGAATGAAGCGGGGGATGGTGTCGACCAGGTACTGGCCGAACTCCTTCAGGTGCTTCTCGGTCTGCTCGCGGTAGAGCTTGGCCGTGAGGGTGGCCTTGGGGGGGGCTGAGAGTGTATGGGGGGGGGGGAGGGGAGGGGGGGGGGAAGGGCGAGGAGAGGGAGGTGAGCCACGAGAGCCATGCGCGAGACAAAGGGAGAGAGAGAGAGAGAGATGAGAGAGAAGTGAGGGTGAGGGATAGCCGCAGGGCGGTGACGGACCGATCTCAACACCATGGATGACAGCGGCACAAGTCTCCGGGCGCTCGGTGGTGTAGAGCGCGCGGGGCAGGGCCGAGACGGCGGGGGTGCGCAGAGCCCGGAGAGCGGGAGCGGTAGCGAGAGCTGCCAGCAGGGAGGGGAAACACACGAGGGAGAGAGAGAGAGAGAGAGTCAGAATGTTGCCCGTGAAATGGGACACAAGCACGCGGCAGGGATGGAGATGGGGGCCGAACCTGAGCGGGACAGCATCTTGAGTCAATCCCTGGGAGGAAGAGGGGGGAGGCCGAGGAGAACGGGAGGGCGAGGGGGTCAGTGGAAGGTGCGGGGAGGCACTTCTCGAAGCCAACATGCGGGGGGGGGGGGGGGGGTGACCAAGGACGAGGCGGCGGCCCGGGGAAAGGGGAGCCCGGGCAGGGCAGAGGCGGCCTGCACAAGGCAGGACCCCACGCGCGGGCAGAGGCGGAGGGGGGATGGAGAAGAGGAACAAATAGAGGGGGCCGGGCGCGTGTGGGAGGAGGAGGCGAGAGGGAGGCGAACTTCGTGACAGCAAAAGGAGGAAGCTGGAGGAGGATCATCTGGCGGGCCCGCCGGCCGGCGAGGGGTACCGAGGAGGGCCGGTGAAAAAGAGCCCCTCCCGCTCCCCTGCCCCCCCCCCCCCTCCTCCGGGGAGCGTGGACCATTCTCGTCGGGCCCGAGCAAAGGGCATCATGCCGGCATGCTTGCCTCCTCCTGGGGTCGGGCAAGGGGGGTCGAGGGTGGAAGAACCGTCGAGGCACAGGTCTCCCTGCATCGCCCATCTCCCCCTCTCGCCCTGTCTCTCTCTCTCTCTCTCTCGGGGTTGCTCCGTCCCCCGGGGCGAAGGGCCCCCACACCATGTGTCTGTCAGGCGGCCCAGCCCGTCAGGGTGGGGCCGAAGGCGGCAGCCAGATACACCCAACGACCAGGCCGAATGGGCCGAGGCGGGGCGGGGGGCCCGGCGCACAGGCCTCCCGCACGTACCGTACCCCAGCGCCTCGGTGTATATGCACGCTGGTCCTCGGGGACAGGTTGAGAGCCGGGGGAAAGCCCAACGTGGGATGGTGATGGGGTGGGGGTCACAAGTGGCCGCGGAGAGGAGCTCTCGTGAACCGCGCAGTCCCCCCCCCCCCCCTGCAACAGTCACACCACAGACAAAGGCAAGGAGGAAAGGACCCCTCCGCACCAGCGCCGGGAGACGGCGCTCTTGAAAAAGACGCGCCCGGGGGCGCCGGTCAGTGGGCAGGACATCTCCCGGTCTGGTCTTTTGGAACGGCGTAATGGCATTATGAATGTTGTTATTTTGGGCTATGAAAGCGGCGATCGTGCCTGCTCCGTGGCCCAGCCCGACGGCCAATCAATGCCCCGAGTCCGATCCCTCCTATCCCTTTTCCCCCTTCCGCCTCCGCCTCATTGGTATCTCCCGCCTCGCTGCCTCGCCGCCTCGCCGCCGTCATTCCCCCCCCCTCCCCCCCCCCCGCTTCCCTCTCCCTCTCTCCCCTCCCAGGCCATTGCCGCTCTTTGCCTCTTTCCCCTTCTACCAGGCACCTGTTGTCTCCGGCGTGTGGTGTTTCCGCTTGGCTGCCACTCTGTGTGCATGCTCCCGGCGCCCCCTGGCTTGGTGTTGGGCATCCTTCCTCGTCATCCACTCGCCCCCCTCCCTCTCACCCTCAGTGCCGGCTCCTCTCGCCTCGCCCATCTGACGGCCTTTACCCATGCCCTTTCCTCTGCCATCCCTAACTCCCCCTCTCCCTCCTTGCATATTGCTGCTCAGAATCCCATCGCCATGTCGACCGTCGCCTCGCATGTCCTTCGTGTCCTCAATGAGCAGGGCCCGATGACCGTCCGCCAGCTGGCCGAGGTCTTGCCCATGCACAGCGTGCGCACTGGGGTTTCTTTTTTTTTTCCTTCCCCCCGACACACCCCCTCCTTGCCACACATGGGTCCTGCTCCTCCCCGCCGCCCTGGCCGGCCCACGGACTTGGGCCCGCTGCCCCCCCCCTGTTCGGCCCTTCCCTTTCTGACACTCCCCTCCTCCCCGCCGCCCTTGGCCGCTGGCTCCCCCCGTTCGGCTGGCCGCTGCATCCCTCAGTTCAAGTCCCTCACCTACCTGAAGCGTGACGTTCTCCAGCGCATGGAGCGCGGCCACTCGGTTGAGAAGCGCGTCTCCCGGACCGTCAACGGCAGCCGCGAGTGGGTGTACCACCCTCTGCGCAAGTTTGACCCGGATTACGTGGCCTTCGTCAAGCGCACCACCGAGAGCCCCGCCTCTCTGGCCGAGCGCTTCTCCAAGTTCTCCAAGTAAGAACATGGTCCCTCCTGCTACTCTCTCCCCTCCCCCCCCCCAGTACCCTTGGCCTCCTCTTTCTTTTTTCAGACCTTCACATGACGCACGCCCCATGTCGCTCCATATGCTGCGTAGTGGCGTGCGCCCTCCCCCCTCCCCTCTTCCCTGGCTGCGCAATATAGATCATAAACTCCCAAATCTCCTCCCCCGTGCCGAGGTGGTCCCTCCCTTCACGCGTCCGCATGTGGGCGCGTGTCGATCTGTGCCCGGCCCTGACCAGAGGTCAAGGAGGCAGGCGGGCGCAATCTGTCAGGCACCCCCTCCTCCCCGGGCCTCTCTCTCTCTCTCGCTGGGGGGCGCGTCGCGGCGAGGCTGCGCGGCGAGGGGCGATGGCGCGAGGCGGGGATGGCGCGATTCGCATGTGATGATGAACAGCACTCACATGACCACACATAATGGCAACACAAGCCCGCAGTGCCCCGCGGCCGCCTGCAGTTATGTCTCGACGCCCGTTGGTCTATGGATACCCCCCCCCCCCCCCTTGACACAGGAACCAAGCAGCCTGGGGACTGGGGAGGAGGCGCGCCTGGCACGATCCTCGTCCGGTGGATTCGGACCGCGCCCCTGGACGGCCTTCGACCGAAGGGCCGAAGGACCGAACAGGCCGCAGGACGAGCACCCCGAGAGCCGAACGATGCCGGTGCTCTTTAGGCACCATGTGAGATGGTCGCCTCGGCCCCGTCCGAGGGGGCGGGATCATCGCTCTACCTCCTCCCCCTCTCCCTCTCCCCCTCCCCCCCCCCCTCCCCCTCCCCGGCGTCCTCGAAACATACACCCCTGCTCGGGCCACCCCCCTCCGGCCCTTGGCTACATCTCCACCTACGCAGCTCCCAGTCTCCAAGCATGTCCGCCGATGTGGGTCATCACACCGCCCGGCGGGAGGCCAAGCAGGAGCGCCACTTCGTGCGCAACACCAAGACACTTGGGCCGGGGCTTCGTGGGATGTCACCTCTTTGCGCGCCACTTGCTGACCTGCCCCCTTCCCCTTCGCGGCCTTGCTCGGCGGTGGCGGCTGGCAGATCATCCTCGACATTGGGGCCGGCCTGGTGAAGGCCGGCCTGGCCGGGGAGTTCGCGCCGCGCCTGATCTTGCCGACCGAGGAAGCACTCAATCAACCGCGCGAGCTGGCGCGCATTCTTCCCGCCCGGCCGCGCTATGGACGGCCGGCCTCGACGGCCGGCGACCAGACGCCGCCGGCGCGCCTGTCCTTCGAGGATCTGCTGGCTGGCGCCGCGCAAGCTGGCGCCGCGGACCCCGGCCCGTACCGGCGTGCACGGGCCGCCCTCCGGGGCCTGGTGGAGACGCTCCTCCGGCGCATGGCCCTCGAACCACGGGAGTACCTCTTCGCCCTGCTGGACTCGCCCTGGACCACGCTCGGGTTCAAGCGCCTTGCGGCGGATGTCCTGCTTCTGGACATGAAAGTACGCGTGACCGACCGGGTGAACTCCCTCTCCGGTCCCCCCCCCCCCTCCCGCCCTCGCTCCCCGTCCAACTCACATCCCCCACCCACGGTAGGCTTCCTTTTTGGTGTTTGTCCCGGCTCCCCTGGCCGCGGCCATTGCCGCTAACCGGACCACGGCCCTGGTGGTGGATGCCGGCCACCGGGCGGCCACTTGCTCGTTGCTGATGGATGGCTTCCTGCCGGCAGCCGAGCCCGAGCTGAATGTCCATTCGCCGATGGCCGGCGGCCCGGGGCTGCGCACGGCCCTGGAATTTACCCTCGCCCGGCGGGGCCAGCTTGTGTCCGCGGCCACCGGCCAGGAACTGCCGGCCGATTCGTGGCAGGCCATTCGACTGGCTGACTCCTTCCTGGATGGGATGGTCTTTTCGCTGCGCGGTGCTGGGACCGGGGCCGGGGCCGGGGCCGGCGCAGCAACGCCCCCACCAGCGGCCGAGCCCCGGGGGCTGGCCTTTCTCCTGCACCCAGGGGACTTCAAGCTCGATGGCGAGGGGCCTGCGGTGGAGGCGCTGGCGGCCGCATCCGCGGCGCCCGGGGGGCTGCTTGTCCGTGCACCGGCTCGGGTCCTGCCGGAAGCCGTGTTGCTGACGCTCTTGGGCCCGGGCGCGGGCGGGGCCCCAGCCTCCGAGGGGGCTCTCCCGTTGGGGGGCCTGGCCGGCGATGTGGCCGGACTCCTCCTCCGGGCGCCCATCGACTACCGGGCTCCCTTGGCCTCGCGCATTGTGCTGACTGGCGGCATGCTTGCCTGTCTGCCGGCGCAAGTGGTGGCCTCGGCTGTGAGCGTCGAGCTCCGGCGCGCCGGGGCCGACGGTACGCGCGCGCATCTGCCCCCCCCCCCCCCTCCTGCCTCCTCCCCTCCGCCTCTTTTTTTCGCATCTGACCCTGTCCCCATCTCCGTCTGTCCCTCTCTCTCTCTCTCCTTGTGTTCCCCGCCGTCGCCTCGTTTCCCTTTTTTTTTCCCCGTTCCCTTCTCCGCTCCTCGTCTCGCGGTATGCTGTGGCCCCCCGCTGTGTGCGCCTGGCAAACCGCTGTGTGTGGCGGGCGTGCGGCCTGCCGGGGGCGGGGGACAGCCCTTTCTCGGCATGTGGCGGTGGTCGACACGCTGGCACCGCCGGCAACGGTGGCCTGGCGTGGGGCGTCGCTGGCCTATTCACATGTGTCGTCGTGGCCGGGGGCTGCCACGTCGGCGGCCGCGGCGGCGGTCATGGCGGTGGCGGTGGCCGCGGCCGAGCCGCGGGACCTTGTGCGTGGGTTCTTCTGCCTCAGCCAGGCGACGTGGGTCCGGGCGGCCGGGCCGCTGGCCGAGGCCCGGCGCGAGTGGGCCGCCGCCCTGGCCCTCGACCCGGCCGATGATGCCGAGGTGAATGAGTGCCGGCGGGTCTTCCGCCAGGCCCTGTCCGCGTCGCAGGCGCTCATCCCGGATTGGACCTCATCGCGGGGCAAGCCGCTAGCCACCGGCGCCGGAGGGCATGGCCATCTGGCGCGCCGGGGAGGCGGCGCCGGTGCTCGCCGACCGGGGGCTGCCTCGGCCGCGGTGCACGCTGCCCTGCTACAGTAGCAACGGCTGCCGGGTCCGCTGTTCTTCTCTTTTTTTTCTTTTTTTTTTTCCCCCTTCCCTCCCCGCCGGGCACGCCAGAATACACATCACACTGCACGACGACGGGCAGCCCCGCCCCCCGCAAGCGCGATCATTGCTCGCTTGTCATATCTGCCCACGCTCGGCGCACGTCCGGCGCGCCGGGCGCACAGGCATGTCGCGACGGATGCGATGGGGGTAAAAAGGTGGGAATGCACGCTCGGCGGCATTTTTCCTCTCTTCATGCATTTGTGCGACGCTGGCTTTGTGGGCTCTCCTCACGCTTTGGCTTTTGTGTCGCGTGATCGTCCACTTGGGATTTTGGCGACGCCCCGAGGCCGTGGAATGCCGCGGTTGGGCGCCGGGGGGAGGGGGCGGATGTCGTCTGTGCGGGGGGACATGGCCAAGGCTCTGTTTTGATCTGTTGTTCAAGTATCGGGGCCAAACGGGCCAGACCCCGGCCCGACCGCGCGCGCGCGCGCGCGCCATGGTGCGGGTGTGCGGGTGTGTCTGAATGTCGGAGGAGGGGCAGGGGGGGGGGGGGGGTGGGGGAGACGCTGGGCTTGCCAGTGTGTGTACGTGTGTGCCAGTGTCCGGTGTGCGTCCGGGGGTCCCGCCCGGCTTACGCCTCGGCCCTTCCCCGGCGGGGCAAATAGGCTCGCGACTATTAATCACCCATTATCTGACGCGGCTGATGCTTCAGCAGGGCCCCGGCGGGGCCGTCAGACCCATCCTGGACAATCAGCACCCCTGTGTCGTGGGTGGGCGCCGCCCCGGTTGGCGTATGCGCGTACACGTACGCGCGCGCGCGCGCGCGTGTGTCAGTCGCCAGGTGGGGGGGGGGACAGAGGGGCCGTCGTAGGGTGCTGGACCCATTCGCGGTGGGAGCCGGTTTCGGCTGGAATCCGGCCAGCGTGCCGGCCGGCCTCCTGGGGGGGGGGGTCCCTGAGCCCCGGCTCCCCCTTTCGCCTTGGCAAGATGACAAGGGTGCGTGATGGGTGTCGCGCGAACAGGCAGGCCTTCGTGGCGCCCGGCCATGGCCCCGGGCCCGGGCGCCGGGCCGGCTTGACACCCGCCCCTGTGGCATCCCCTTTGGGCCAGGGGAGGGGCCGGGGGCGGGGGGCGTTTTGGCATCCGCAGCCGTCTCTCGCTCGCGGGGCATGTGCCGGAGAGGAGATTGCACCGGCGGGCGTGCGCTCTGCCGGCACACAGGCTGGCCCCTCCAGCTGCAGGGACTGGAGAAGACCCCGGGCCGGAGGAGCGGGGCTGGGGGGGGGGGGGGGGGGGGGGTTACTCCGTCCCAAGGCCTGGGTGTCGGTTCTTCCTGCCCCCCTCCCCGGGCTCGCCTTCCTGGCCCCTGGACCTCGGCCTCCTGGATTTTTCCAAGGCGGGGGGTGGGCGGGCTCCGCGCTCGTCCGAAAAAGCGACCCTGCCCGGACCTGGGTAGCTGGCATGCGCGCGGGGATTGCCTCGGGCGTGTGCACAGACGCGCACGCACCGGCATGTGCCGCGGCTTACCCGCACGCGCCCGCACGCACACCACACACACGTACTTGACAAAGTGAAAAAGGAGCGCTCCTCCATGCGAGCACCCGGCCGCCAGCCAACTGCCCGCCGGGCCAGCTTCCAACGGTGCTCCACAACACCGAGTCGCGCGTTCGGGGATGCCCCATCAGTGGGCTGCTGCTGGTGCGTGTGTGTGTGTGTGTGTGTTCGCTCGGTGAAGAGGCGTGCGTGCGCGCAAACACATGTGCGGGTGCGGAAGCGTGTGCATGTATGTGGGTGCGTGCGTGCGTGCGTGCGTGCGTGCGCGCGTGCCGGGTATCTGGGTATGGGCGGGCGCAGGCATGCCCCGGGTGAGCCAGCCCGGGGCCGGACCTCCGGGGCCGGGGGCCCCCGCTGTGCTCGCCCGGGGCGCCTCGGCGTGTGTGCATTATTCCGAGGCCGGTGTGCGCCTGGCCCGGCGGGATGGGGGCGGCCGGGCGGGACGGGGGGGCATGCAGGTGTGGGGCTGTGCTCTGCGCGCGTTTTATGTCCGTCAGTGTGTATGTCGAAATACGAATGCGCCGGCCGGGAGGAGTTTTTATTTGATTTTCTCCCACGTTCCGCCCAGTTTCGGTGGGCGCGCGGCCATGAGGGGCGACGAGAGGCATGTGGGGTGGGAGGCTCTTAGTCGGGGTGTTTTCCCCGGAGATCCCTGGCCCCGCGCTCCGGCTGGCCGGCCGGAGCGCGCGCGAGCGTGCGTGTCGAAGTCGCCGCGCGTGGTCCAGCAGTGTGCAATGTTTGTTTGGTGTGCTTGCTCCGGGCGCCGGGGGGGGGGGGGGGGGGAGGGGGGGGGGGGGGGGGTGTGGGGGGGGGGGGGTGGGGGGGGGGGGGGGGGGGGGGGGGGGGGGGGGGGGGGGGGGGGGGGGGGGGGGGGGGGGGGGGGGGGGGGGGGGGGGGGGGGGGGGGGGGGGGGGGGGGGGGGGGGGGGGGGGGGGGGGGGGGGGGGGGGGGGGGGGGGGGGGACGAGGAGACTGTGTCAAGGAATCTCGAACGGCGCTCATCCGAGTACAAAGGGATGACCAGGGGGCGGGGGCGAGGGAGGCCGCCACCTGACTCCCCCCCTCCAGTGTGAGCCGGGGAAGCCGCGATCTCGGCCCTTGTCAGTCGGCCTGGCGCGCCCAGGCTGCCGGGCGCATTTCGTTATTTTTCTCCATGCTCGGCCGGCCGCGGGGATTCGCTCCGGCCTTGGCTCGGAGGAGGGCGGGGGGGGGGGCCGCCCCGCAGCCGGGGGCGGCGGTCGGCTCGCGGAATAATAGGGGGCTGACGGTATTGTACATCTCACCGCGCTCCCCCGGGGCGCCCCCCGCCTTCTGAGCTCCCTGCCCCCATCCCCCCCCCCCCCCCCGGGGGCGGGGGCGGGAGAGGGGCGGAAAGGCCCTGGCCTGTGAGCGAGGGGCTCGGCCCTGGACCGGGGACGAGGCCTGGGCGTAATCCCGCGCACCCGATGGAGGAAAATGGGGGATTGGTGCTCGCGCGCGCGCATCTACATTTCCGGCGCTCGTCTGTGTGTCTGCGTGTTGTGCGCGCGTCGCCGCCGGCGTGCAGATGCGCCTGTGTTGCGCGCGCGCGCGCGGCCGTGCGCAGGTGCCCTCGGCCCGCCCCCCGCCTTCCCCCCGCCCCCCGGGAGAAAGCCCGTGTGAACGCGGGAGGCCCGGTGTGTGTGTGTGTGTGTGGATGCCACAATTTCCGCCACAAATGGTGTCGCCTAACTGGGATGCACGCCGGCGCGCGCCACGCCGACGATCACTTTTGACCACAAATGGCGACGCTCGGGGTCCTCGCCTTTTTACCGCGGCCTTCGCTGCCGGTTGCCCGTTTTGTGTGGAGCCGGCGGCCAGGCCGCCACCCCCCTCCCCCTCCCTGGGCGCACTTTCCCCAGAGGCCCCCCCCCCCCCCAACAGGCAGGCGGGTCCGGGCCGGTGCCGATTGCGCTGGGTCGGTTGAGGGGAGGAGGCGCGGGCGGAGTCGCCAGGCTGCGCTGCCGCCGAAGCCCCGCCCCCCCCCCCGCCGGCCTTCGTGCGCCACTAACCTGGTATCCCTTCTCAAAGGCCCGCGAAAAGTGGGCCTCCCCTGGCCCGGCGGCTCCCCCGTCCGGATGTGTGGTGCCCCCGGGGGAGCACCCATATGCCCGGGGGTGGGGCCGGCTGCCGGTGTGTTTCGCTTTCCTCTCGCGCGTTGCCCCCCCCCCCCCCCC